AAATTTTATTATTTATCCAGTCATTAATATCCCTGTACAATATAAAAAGTTATGAGCCACTATATTTTCTATTTATATAAGACAAAAGACATATGCACACACTACAAGATTTCGCTTTCAAATGAATGTTGTTCTTTTGACGTTTCAATTCATTAAAGAATCCTGGAAAAAGTATCAAGGCTTCCATAAATAAATTAGTGCTGGGCAATGATTATTGCATCTGAAATAAAAGTTTTTGTGTACATAATATATGTGTGTGTACTGAGTATATTTATTATGTATATATAAATACACATGCATGTATATATTTAAGAAAAATATGTTTATATATATATATATATATATATAACATATTTTTCTTAAATATACAGTATACATGCATGTGTGTGTATTTATAATTAATTAATATACACAGTACACACACATATATTATGTACACAAAAACTTTTATTTTGGATGCGATTAATTGTTGCCCAGCACTAAAATAAATATGAAGCAATGATCATGTGACACTGATGACTGGAGTAATGGCTGCTGGAAATTCAGTTTTGCCATCACAGGAAAAAGACGTTTTTAAAATATATTCAAAAGTTATTTTAATTTAGAATATTTTACATACTGCTGATTTTACTGTAGTTTGGATCAAATAAATACATTCTTGATGAGCATAAGACAAATCTTCAGAACTACTGACCTCAAACTGTAAGCATGCAAAAAAGCAAACACTTTTCCTGCAGCCTTTCAGTGTCCAGCCGGGTAAAATGGAAAATAAGTCATAGATTAAGAGAGGAAATGGTGTAATGGAACTAGCCCCTAGAACTACTTTCCACTAGCAAGTAGTCAGGAACAGTGTTGTATTTTTAACCACATGCTTTTCATTTTAAAAGCTTAAAGAACTCTAAAACACTCTAAAAAATGCTGGGTTAAATATAACCCAGTGCTGGGTAAAATAGGGACAAACCGAGCAATTGTGTTGTTTTGACCCAGCAGTTGGGTTACTACCCAGAAGGTTGGGTTAAACATTTAACAAAATGAGTGCAAAATTCAAATTGTGTCATACTCGTGACATATGTCTTTTGAAACCTGTATGACTTTCTTTCTGCTATGGAAAAAAGTTAATTTGAACTTGAAATAATAACTGAAATAACTTTCAAACACATGAAAGTGCATGAGAATGTCAAGCTCCAAAACAAAACAAGAACGCATCATAAAAGTATCATGAGAGAGACAGTGATTCGTGAATGAATCGTTTTTATGCGATGAATCAGTTCATCAAAACAAGCCTGATGAACCAATTTTGATTCTTGATTCAAATCACTAGTTTACAGCTCACTTGGGGGAGAATATTATCAGAGAATAACAACTGGTGTTTTGCATCCTTTTTAAAGCTTGAATGCTCCAGCTTCTTTGCCACTGCAATGAGCAACCAGTATTTCTCCCTTTGTGTTACTAAATGTCACACGGGTTTGAAACAACATGAGTAAATGAGTAAATAAATCACATCATTTATATTTCAGGGTGAAATATTTCTTGTAAAGCATCTGGCTAAAAAAGTAACATTCATTCATTGAGCTAAATAGGTCATTATTGCAATACACCCTTTGACAGGTCAAAGCCAGAAGTTGAACTCTTCTGAATGAAACAGTCTTATACACATCACAGCTGTTCCGGCACTGTCGTCACATTTTAGGAATGCTTAAAATTCCAAGATGAAATCCTTACTTCCGAAGGGGTTAGATGAAAGACACAGAAACCTACCAGGATTGTTCAGGCGTGAAAAACAGTTTAATTGACCTAAGATTACTTAAATCAAAAATATCTCTTCAGCACTGATGATGATGTCATGCTTAAGATATTTGTATGTGTGTGTGTGTGGGGGGAATGAAATTGATTCATTGGCTTTACGTATGTTATTGTATGCAACATTTTGTCTGATCATTTTAAGGCATGATTTACTAATCAGTAATACTTATCACTACGAAGATATTAAAGATTAGACATGCTTCATAATGTTTCCCTAAAATGACCCTCCTTCTCCTTAGAAGTATTTACAACATATGCATTCCATTAGTAATAAGCTTTATAGCCTATATGACAGTCATATTAAAAATAAAAAACATGGAGATTATCTCTGACCGGGTCATCTCTAAACTCTGGACAATCTAAGATCAATTTGAGGAAAATTTTCTATTTTTTTTCCCCCCCACATGATTAATCTAACACACAAAATTATACGAAATCAGAAACTTTTCTGGGGATGCCAACTTGCAGTTATAGAATAATTTTCCATTTAATCAAATCAATACTAAACAAAATACATCATCTAAATCATCATTTACTTTTATATTTTATTATTATTAGCTTATTTTTATAATTAATGTGGTTTTTAATTCAAATTCACTTGGATTCAACCTCCAATTATAACCAAAGTCTTCACCAAAGTCTCGTGCAACTATTAGTTTGAAAGTGTAACATAATCAAGAACACACAGGTAAAATATAAAAAAAAATAAGAATAATTTAAAAAGATACATTTAAACTAAACCATATAAACGCCAAGCTAACACTAGTTGCCAATAACGCAAAATAAACTAGGCTAACATTACTTTTTAAAAGCACGGTAATATTCAGAACTGTTTCTATAATGCATACCAAAACTGATCATCTAATCAATATATACTAAAAATGTATCAACATACATATAAAAATATTTAAAACAAATTAGTAAAATTCAGTTTACCTTGTTTTTAACCTCCGCAGATAATCCGTAGGCTGGTCCCTTGTTAAACTGCGTCATGATTCACTTTTTTGCGTTTTTTCTTAAAGTCACTGTACTGCCCAACAGGGAATGAGTGAAGTAAAGTCCTAAAGCTGCAGTAAAATCACAGTACAGAAGATTCGGAGCTCCGCGTGCTTGAATAATCCGCGCTCAGTGAGTTTACACAACGGAGACTCACGCAAAAACTTCTACCCTATATCGAGAATTTGGGGTGGAGCTAGATGACTGATGCGCCGCTAGAGCCAATCAGAAGCCTCGGTTCTGCATATTAAACCATCCATTGTTTCTCTGGCTCTACTGGGCGCCACTGGCGAAAGTAATGGCTCACCTGCCAAAACTAGTGACCGAGTTTCAGTTTACTGGAAAGCTGTGGCTTATCTCTACAGTTATATGGTGTAATAATACTTTCTTTGTCTTCTTCGATTCTTTTTTTGCTAGTTTGACAACAGCAAAAACATTTCACGGTTAACTTTTAAGTAAATTTACAAACATTATTGCTTAACAGATAAGAATGCGGTACATACAAATAATATATCAAAACGAAACTAAATTCTATATATTAACAATTATCAGAAAAAATAATTATTATGAATCTTAATAATACTGATTAACTTAAAAAGAAATAAAATGAAATAAGTGCAATTTTAATTACATTTCTGAGTGTGCATTAATGATTTGTTAAACATTAAATAATTTAATGATATTTGCTAATCTTATTAATGGCCCAAATTAACATTAACCCACTTAGTTACTAATAGTTTATTTATATGTGACCATGGACCACAAAACCAGTCATAAGGGTCAATTTTATGAAATTGAGATTTATACATCATCCGAAAGCTGGATAAATAAGCTTTCCATTGATGTATGGTTTGTTTGATGTATGACAATATTTGGCTGATATACAACTTTTTGAAAATCTGGAATCTGAGGGTGCAAAAAAAAAAAAATCTAAATATCGATAAAATCACATTTAAAGTTGTCCAAATTAAGTCCTTAGCAATGCATATTACTAATCAAAAATTAAGTTGTGATATATTTACAGTAGGAAATTTACAAAATATCTTCATGGAACATGATCTTTAATTAATATCCCAATGATATTTGGCATAAAAGAAAAATCGATCATTTTTACCCATACACTGTACTGTTGGCTATTGCTACAAATATATAACCGTGCGACTTATGACTGGTTTTGTTGGCAATTAAAAAAAAAAATGAAGCTAATCAAAGTGCTTTCCAGATTACATAATGAAGAATAGAAAAGCAAACAAGACACACCCTTACTGCGGTAATACTAACTATGGTACGGTAAAATGCCAGTAACCACAATTTATCAACAGAAATCAAACCATGATAAAACACACAACACAGGCCTAGTGTATGCATCCAATTTCTGTGTTGCCATTTTCTGTATTGTCAAGTAGCTTTAAATGACCAGTTGATGTTTTGAGCTTGATGTACTGGGTGGAGCTATAATGTCAGGGTTATTTTTGTCCGAAAGGTTGAAGTGAAAACAACACGAGGAAAAAACAACTATCATGGAGGTGGTCTGTCTGAGGAGATCAGTATCTCTCGCTGTCACTCAACCTGTTTAGTGTAAACAAGGAAGACATTTTCTCTAAGGTTGATTTCATTTTGTGGATATTTCTAATAACATAGGTACAAACAAAATGCCAGAATGTTGTGTGATTTATCTGACAACATGACCTGTTTTATCAGAAGCTGAAGGCCTTTTGTCAACTAAAAACTGAATACAACATAGAATATAAAAATGAAATTGAATTGAAATTCTGCAAGGTCGACTAATAAAGATACTGATGATATTGGTGATGGTATCAGCCAGTGAGAGATGAAACAGCGAGGTGTTTCCTGATAAGAGTCTGTTATGACTAGAGATAATAACTCTTGTGCAGAATTACTCTTGCTGTTAAGTGTTTGGTCTTTACCTCCTCCCAAAAAGTTCCATAAATGGTCAGCTTTTCGCTTTGCGAGATGTTAACTGATGGACTGGTGTGGATTACTTGTGGATTATTGTGATGTTTTTCTCAGCTGTTTGGACTCTCATTCTGACGGCACCCATTCACTGCAGAGGATCCATTGATGGTGAGCAAGTGACGTAATGCTAAATTTCTCCAAATCTTGGAAGGCCTGAGGGCGAGTACATTTTAAGCAAATTGGCACTTTTGGGTGAACTATTTCTTTAAAAATCAATTTCATTGTGGATAAAATGAATGGCATTTTTATTTCTGCAATGCTACGGTTACCATCTATGCTCATAATAACCAAATTATACATGACATCACATACCTTCCAGACATGTCTGATGGGATCATCCATTTGCAGCTGTTCAGAAACATCACAGTCGCAGAACTTTATGCTGAGAAGTAAAAGACTAAGTTACCTGTATGAACTTGTTATGCGAGACAAAAGAAACCATCAGGTTATGCTCTACCTCATGCTGCAGGTATTAGAGTGCCGTCTCATCTCTAGAAACAAGAAGAACAGGATATTATAGACACATAAAATAAAAACTACAGCTGAGAATTGCAGCTTTTCCATCTGTCAAGTCTATATTTGACACCATTTCCTCTAGAACCACATACCAGCACAGGAGGACAATGAAGTACCACTGAAATGCGTAGTGAGCTGGAAAATATTTCACAACAACACTAAGAAAAAATGTATTCACACTTAAGAATGAGGTATCACAATCTAGATTTAAAACAAGTCTTCCATGTATCTGAATGACAGTATAACTTTGAAATGGACAAACCTGTGATCAAAAGCCAAATACTGTTTTCCATGAAGTGGTGCATGAAAAAAAAAACACTGAAACTATGAATGCAATTAGAAGCACCTGCATGTGTAAAAACTTCTCTCGGTTTAGTTTTGTTGACTTTTCAAAGGCGTAAAAGGTAGAACAGGACATCTCATCAGCCTATCATGATTGTTTGGCTTAAAAAACAAAACAAAACTCAGATAGTTGTCATAGCTGTGTATTCAGCACGTCAGTAACTGCATAGGAATGAATCAAATGTGAAGAACAGTATCAAAATGGCATGTAATTCTCAATACAAAAGTGAAAAAGTCTACAGAAAGGGATCACACCAGTCTCCCTACGTAGATGGCCTTTGGGTATTTGTCTTTTAGTGTTGCCCACTGCACAAAAAAGTAGTCAGAAAAGTAGTAGAGGATCTTCCCGGATAGAGACAGTGTCTCTACACGACAGATGCTCTCCACATAGACGATCAAGACTCTTTTTAGGCCCAGGATGCCCAGGAGCAGCCCAGCGGCACACAGTGGGACACAAGTTCCTGGACCGTTACACAGCACCTGAAACACAAACACACACACACACTTATATATATATATATATATATATATATATATACACACACACACATTACAATTCAAAATTCAAGGAATTAACATTATAGTTAAGGCATTATAAACTAACAATGAACACACATTTTTTTTTACAGCAATTGTTAATTCAGGTTTATATTTATTTATAAATATACACTATTGCTCATTATTAATTCATGTTTGTTCATAATACACTGACTAATGTTAATTCTTATAATTACAATTTTAATGCTGTAAAAAGTATTGTTCATTATTAGTTCATAATACCTAATGCATTAACTAATGTTAACAAATTAAACCTTACTTTAACCCCCCCTCCCAAAAAAAAGTAATACTTTAATATAAAAAGTTGTTCCCATTAAACATAATACTTGTAATCATTACTCAAATATATGTTTGTATTCAGAAAGGATGCATTAAATTGACGGAAAAAATGTATTATATTTTCCACAAAAATATTAAGCTGCACAACTGTTTTCAAAATTGATATAAGAATGATAATAGTTACTGATAATAATAATAATAATAATGTTTCTTAAAGCAGTTAATCGGTATATTAGAATGATTTCTGAAGGATCATGTGACACTGAAGACTGGAGTAATGATGCTGAAAATTCAGCTTTGCGTCAAAGGAATAAATTATATTTTACAATATACTCGAATAGAAACAGGTATTTGAAATTATTATAATAACTGTAATAATATTTTACAAAATTACCATTTTTACGGCATTTTTGATAAAACAAATGCAGCCTTGGTGAGCATAAAATACTTCTTACAAAAACATAAAAATGGCTTCAAAATCCATAAAGATTTTAAGAGTAAACAAATAAAAATTATGATTTGAAGAATAAAAATGTAGTCATTTTTCTTATTTTAAACTAATCTCACTATTACCTTATTATATAATTTTATTTCAATTATGAGCTAATTCAATTGAAATTATTAAGGGAATACAATGGTATTTTAATTACAAATCCATGATTAGTCAACTTGCAACATATTATCTTTAAACAAGTTCACTCTCTGAGACAACCACACGAGGTAAACTTGTTGACACACTTGGGGAAACAATTTGTGGAACTGACGATTTTCTGTAAAGCTGCTTTTGGACAGTGAAAAGTGCTATACAAATTAAAAATGAATTGATTTGACTTAGGTTAGTTCACCCGAAAATGAAAATTAGGCTGTTTTTTATTCACCCCCGATGCATCCTAGGTGTATATGACTTTCTTCTTTCAGACGAATCCAGTTGGAGTTATATTAAAAATTGTCTTTGATCTTTCAAGCTCTATCGTTGTACTCAGCGGGTGTTGCAGTGCTTCGGTTCAAAAGACGTTAAATAAAAAGCACCTTTCCATAAAAAAACGTCTCACACGGCTCCGGGGGGTGAACAAAGGCCTCCTGTAGCGAATCGATGCGTTTTTTGTAAGAAAAATGTCCATATTCAAAACGTAATAATCACTTTAATCTAGCTTGCGGCAGCAGTTGTACACAGAAGCAGTTCCGGGGGAATGACGTATGGGGTCAGCGTTGCGCATGCGCCGGTGCGTCTCGTGAAAACCAACGTTTGTTTACAGGATCAAAAGAAGAAAAGTTTCCTTACTTTAGCAAAGTAAAACAAGACTCCTCTTAGCTTATATCGAAATCCTCCGACATTCTTCTTTACAAATCCTCGTTTTGTACTTCTAATTAGTGACCGTTGTTTTGTTTTGATCTCTCCGCTGCGTTTCCGCGTGCGTCACTTCTGAGCGGCACAGCCTAATTTTCATTTTTGGATGAACTAACCCTTTAAATAGGCTAAGACACAACATCAGAAAGACACCAGCATAAAGTACAGAGTCCTCCGAGTTGGAGAAATATGAGCTTTCTGGTTCAAAACTGGAGACAGCGAGTGGCACAGGAAGGCAGTCAGACTTTGGTGGAGACGAGCCATGGGGTCTGGAGAAATCATTTTACACCGACTGCTCAGACACATTAACACTGGAAAAATCCAGCCTGTGTCTGCTCCGAGCCGAAACCGATACGCGGCAGGAACCGAGGACAACGACCCAAGTGAGAACATCAGAGGTTAGGGACGTTTCAACTCACATACGCTTCAATTCATTTCTGTCTGCTTCTGCTCGGATTGAGTTTATTGCCAGTTTCCAAGCAGTCTAAAACACTCCATTTCCCATCCTGCACCTGGAGGCAGATGAGCGATGGGGATGGGGATGGGCAGAGACGGACCACCAGGTGGGCGATCCGTCTCGGCCCGTATTTACATTTCACACACACCTGCGAGTTCACTTCGGGGAATGAGATCACTGTCACCCAACAGAGAGACGCTGACTTCAGCTCTGAAGGGCTGCTGGATTGTGTTCAGAGATTGGTGAGCGTTTGCTATGGGTACAGGCCAAGCTGTCAGAGCGCTATTTGAGTCTGTCATCAGAGTGGTGCAAATTTAAATGGCCATTATGTGAAACTTCAACACGACATAAATCAAGTGTCAGAAAACCCCCGTTTCGGGGCTGTCGGATCGGCGGGGCGCTGAATGCGCATCAAAGAAAACAGCTTGTTTTTCTCAAGTCTCTTTTTGCGTGTTAAGGAGAAGAAAGACTGATAGTGAAAGCTGGATATGAGGTGCTCTCTTTTTAGCCTCTTCTGCATTTTCTCGAAAGAAACACTAGGAATTAGTAATTGTGAATGTGCGAAGAACTAAAACACAACAGCTAAATACTGTTCCACCAACCTTGACTTCTTTAAAAAAAAATTGTGAAATGTATATCTGAGCAAACAGCAATAGCTGCATCAAAAGTGCAATCCATTAATCTTAATATATAGCACCCTTCCGAAGATCAAAATCCTATATTGATACATTGTGGTATTAACGAAAAAAATAATAGCATATAAAATAAAAAAAAAGTGGTAAAAAAAAAAAAATTAAAAATTAAAATAAAATAACGTAAGAGCCTGGCCAACATTAAGAGCCCTGAAGTGACTTTCAATCATGTCAACAACCAGAACCACTAGTCCGACCCTTTCTATTGCACCATATAAACACAGTGCTCAGCTGCGAGTCATACAAGGAAAGTGAAAATCTCATCAATATCTGTTGATGGCCAGTGCATTTTAAACTGCTGCTTATCTAAAGCCAGTGGGGATTATACACTAACGCTGAAGCATTTTCATAAATCAAAGGCCTTATGGAGTCATTGTTCCTCTGTGAGACATGTTCATATCACAGCTGCACAGACAGGACGTGCACAGGTGCTGAGACGTAATTACTAATGAGGTCATCGAGGTGGGGCCACTTTATTACTCCACATCATACAGAGTAGCTCCAGGTGAGATTTAAACTGTTACCAGGTTTTGTTACTTCCCTTCTCAGGCTTCAGATGAGTCAGCACAGACCAGACTGCAGGTGTCATGGCTATAAATGACAGACGAGTTCATCCTGATTTTGTTAAACAGTAACAAAGTAAAAGGCCGTCTATACAGTGTCTTATGACTAGCAACACAACAAACACCCATAGAGGACCGTTGTTTTACTGGTCTGTGTTACTGCAAGAATGGCAGCATCCTATCATATTGTTTTTTTAATAGCTTGTATATTGGAATGTGTGATTAGGATTATGCACTGATGTAAATTTGGGGATATAGTATGTATAATATGTAAGTACATATTACGAGAGTGATTATATATATATGTATATATATATATATATATTTGATTGGAGAATAATAAATACATATCGAAACATACAGGTATATACATGTATATATGTTTGTCTGTTTAATTTCCAATTCATTTATGTATGTAGTTATTTTTTATTTATTTAAAGAAATAAGTTGTAATTTGAATAAACTGGAATGAGTTCTTTAACAATCTAGCATGCTCTTTTGTACATTATTGCTTATATTATATTATGTGACATTAGATTTGTGATTAGGATTACACACTAACTGCTTGTTTATGAACATTATTTCTCTACGTGCATATCCTGACATATTCTAACATGCAGGTCTTGTTTTATGATCTATCCATCACTAATTATCTTAAACATATGGATGAACATTAAATAAATAAAACACACAAGAGCTCCGTCCGCTGCATTTCCAAATAAGGCTAAGATGAAACATATGGATGGAGACGCAGTCAAACAAAAAACTCAGGATCAGTGAGGAGTCTGTGTGGAATGTGAGGGGATGTCCACCGCACAACGTCCAGACCCCGTTATTTGTTATTGTTAATCGTACAAACCTCCTCCCCCTCTCACAAAATCTATGGAACATAGATTCTTCAAATTGTTTTCCCGTATTCTTTCTCATTTTTGGATTTGCATCACAACTAGAATCACTTAAGAAACGGAATGAATTTCTC